TACTGGTGGGTCGGCATTGTGTGCCTTAGACCCACCGCTACTGGAAGGTAACTCACCTCGTAGTAGCTGCTGTCTGTGTGGGATGGTCTGTCTGCTGCTGCTGCTCCGGAAATCCTCCGGCTGCAATTCCCACCAAACACTTAGTCAAATACTACTAACCGACCTCAGGGTAAACTGACCATTTACCCTTAACAAACCATGAGTTAAAGTCAAAGTATCTTCCAGTTGACCCGACTCGCCGTTGGCCTGTCACTCGCCGAGTCCCTATCCCTTTGTTTGACCACTATCCCGTCTCTACTCGTCGAGTTTGGCATTGACTCGACGAGTTGTCCTTCTAAGCTAAAGGCCAATATTCCTTCATCCTACTCGCCGAGTTGTATGAACAACTCGCCGAGTTCTTCTTCATCCGAAGAACACTCTATGCTGAGACTTGCCGAGCTGTATGAACAACTCGCCGAGTCTGTTCTTGAGGCAAGAAGATTGCCCTGAACTCACCGAGTCATGGCATTGACTTGCCGAGTTACTACATGAGTGAGTCTGGCTTCCAACCCACTGAGTCACACCCTATGACTCACTACTCCAACCCGCAAACACGAAAAGGGGGAAAACTTGGGGACTCGCGACTCGGCTCGCCGAGTCGGCCACATGCAATTACTATACACTTGATTTTTCTTGAATCCAGCTCATGCCATTCACAGATCTGGGTTTCTAGGGCATGAATTACACGTAAAGTTTCCAACTTTACGTGTAAATAATCACCAATGAAGGTTTTAGGGCTCAAAATGCACCAAAAGGGTAGATCTAGGGCTTTCATGCAATATGACTCCATAAAGGCAGTAGATCCAAGCTCGAGGGACTCAATCATGCCTAGATCTAGAGGCTAACAACTTATTACAACCCACAATGCACAACAAGCTTGGGGAATGGCTCAAGAAGGACTTTCATGTAGCTAGTATAGACTACAAGCATGAAAACAGAGGGGAAACGAGTTATACCTCAAGGAAAACGCTGAGATGACACAAAGATACCTGGCCTCCTTTTCCTCTTCTTGATCTACTCTTCTTTCTCCTCAAAAATCTTCAAGAACAAACAAAACACTTCAATCTCACAAGGAATAGGTGTATAAACGATGTTGGGAGCTCAGAGGGTGAAGGGGGCGAGCTTAGGGGCGGATAAGAGGGTTTAAATAGGGTGCAAAACCTTGAAATTTAGGGTTTCATCAAATAGTGGGGACTCGCCAAGTCTAGAATATGGACTCGCCGAGTCGCCAACTTAAACGTGTTCCGGATCACATCTCTACTCGGCGAGTCGAACCTACGACTCGCCGAGTCCAAGGCTAAAAATGAAAAAAAAAAAAACTAAGATGAATTTTTCTACGTACCAGGAATCAAGTGCTACAAATCTCCCCCACTTATTCTAGACTTTGTCCTCGAAGTCTGCCGCTCGATCCTGAAACAGCTCGGGGTAATGCTCCATCATTTCTTCCTTCGGCTCCCAAGTCCATTCCCAACCCTTGCGGTGCTGCCATTGCACCTTCACTAATTCCACCCTCTTGTACCTTAGATCCCTTGACTTTCGGTCGAGGATTGCGACTGGGCTCTCAATGTAATTCAAGTTGTCATCAACCTGTATATCCTCTAACGGCACCACTGCTGAATCATCCACGAGGCACTTCCGCTGCTGGGAGACATGGAAGGTGCTGTGGATCTGACTGAGCTCGGCTGGCAGATCTAGCCTATATGCCACCTTGTCCACCCGGGCTACAACCTTGAACATACCAATGAATCTTGGGCTCAACTTGCCCCGCTTCCTGAATCGAATGATACCTTTCCAAGGCGACACCTTCAGGAGAACCATATCCCCGACCTGGAACTCCAGGTCTGATCGACGCTTGTCGGCGTAACTTTTCTGCCGACTCTGCGCAGTCTGAAGCCTGCTTCGAACGTGCTGGATCCTCTCGATTGTCTTGAGCACCACCTCAATGCTCCCCATGACCCTCTGGCCAACTTCACCCCAACATATCGGGGTCCTACACCTCCGTCTGTATAACATCTCGAATGGGGGACGGTCAATACTCGTGTGGTAGCTGTTGTTGTACGAGAACTCAGCCAAGGGAAGATAGGTATCCTA